TGGAAGGAGGACTGGGCAATCTATTTCTGTAGAGATACTGCCTCAGAAACCCAAGGAGGGTTTGCTGTGAGTTGGGATGAACTAGATGGCAGTGAGTGTGTGTGTGTTTGTAATGGAGGAAGGGTCTCTTGTTATTTCAATCCATTCCTCATTGGTTGCTTGGCATATCTCAGCCACTCTGACCCAGCACGAACCCACAAGAGAGGCCAAGGAAGGGAGAGGCTCATACTTTGCCTTATTTATGCGAAAACCTCAAGTCCTGTCTCTAGGAAAAGAGAGAGACAAAGGTGTCCAAAGATAAAACTTTGGAGGGGAGGACAGAGTGAAAGAATGACAGAGGCCTCCAGGGTACAGCACAAGATGGGACAGAGAAGGAGGAGTTTGGATATGACTGTCATTTTCTAATAGAAATTTCTCCTCTGTAATTCTCTACCCTGCTCGGAAACTCTGGTTATCATCCCCTTCCAGCCCCAAGAATCCTTCTGCCCTCATTGGCAGGAATAGTCAGGAAGCGTGCCCACAGGAACCACAACTCATGAATCAGCAGACAGATAATTAACTGGAGTAGTGACCAAGTAGCTCAGGGATAAACCGCTTGGCTTGGCCCAGCCCTCTCTGTTGCCCGCAGAGCTGGCCTGCGACTTCACCCCATCACCTCTTCTCTCTTTTCCTGAACTTGGGCCCTTCCCGAGTAGGAAGATTATTGTGCCTGGTGGAGCTCAGGTCGCTAGTGGAAAATGAAAGTGGAAGCAGGGAAAGGATACAGTTTAGTAAAACTGTCTGATCTCCTTGTGTATACTGCTGGTGTTTATTTATATGTGAGGTTCTCCAGCAAAATATTTATAAAATCATTCTTTCTCTCCATGCACACAGTGTCCCCAGAAACTCTACTTCTTCCTCTCCTCTTTTTTTTTAAAGTTAGGTTTATTGAGGTACAATTTATGTACAGTAAGATTCACCTTTTTTAGTTGTACATTTCTATGAACTTTGACAAATGCATTCAATCAGTTACCATGACTATAATCATGATATAGACTATTTCCATCACTCCACAAAGTTCCCTCAAGGCAACATTCACTCAGAGGAAATGCAGGACAAGCAGGCGTGCGTAACTATGAGGGGCACAGGGGGAGATTACTAGGCAGGGAGGAGAGGAGACTGGCTTAGGGTTGGGCATGGTAAATGGGGAGTGAAACTAAATGTACACATAACGATGAATGTAAAACAAACTCTTAAAATAAAATAAAATATTAAAAATTAATAAAACACTAGAGAACTAAAAAACAAAAAACAAAAAACAAAGTTCCCTCAAGCCCTTTTACAATCAGTCCCCTAATCCCACCCCCTATAATTTTTCCTTTTCCAGAATGTTATATAAATGAAATCTTACAGTTCGTATCTTGTCAAGTTGAGATTCATCCATGCATTGCATATATCAATAATCTGTTTCT